GTATGCCCAAAGCCAGTTGAGATATTTGCCACTGATGTTGGCCGTGAGCAAGAATCAATTTCAGATCGCAGTGCCCTTGCCACTATAAAGACAAAAACACACCCCATGGCTTTTACAGACTGTTGGGGCAAGTGCTGTTAATCTTCTTCTTTCGCATGGCTGTCAGTGAGCTCACCGCTACAAAAATACAAAAGACAAAGATGATCCATATAGCCTTAATATACTGCTGGGGCAAGTGCTGTTGGCGACCACCTATGAAGGCCAGCATGGCACACGAGGGTGTGGATGGACAGCGCCACGCCCGGTCGCCTTTGTCTCCTCAGTGGCAATGTTTACAGACAGGCTGAGTCGACCTAGGGGAGGCCCAGGACTGGTTCAGATAATCATCACTGGCGTTGGCCGTGAGCAGGAATCGAACTCGGGTCGCCGGGTTCGTAGCGCAGCACGCTAAGAACTCGGACACATACATACACACAACCAATCCAATGCATTGCAAATGTACACCGTACAACCACATTTGCTGGGTGGATACCATTCGGGTACAAGTGATACGAAGCTTGTTGGACCCTTTAGGAACTTATTTTGTAACAAGTAGTGGCCATGCTGATGTGGCTACAGCAACCACTCCTCTCCCCCCCCCCCATTGTAGGTGAAGGTAAAACACAACAGAGATCAGAGCAGCAAATTATCAGATGTTTCTTGTAGAATAATATTGTGAACTGAGAAGACAAAATTCACGTTTTCAAGAAAATGATTTTCAAAAAATTTGCAGAGCAGCATGTTCCACAAAACATGGATAAATACCGATTCTCTTAAGCGCACGATGCAAGCATGGAACCGTGCGTGTTAACAAGCGGTCGTTTTCAGTTCTGTGTTCTTTGACGTGTACGCAATTGTTCGACGTTCACCCTGCAGACACGAGAGGCGCTGCGTTCGCCGTGATGGTGAATAACGAAAATGGATCCTTGTACTGAGTCACAACTCGGAATCATGACAATTCATCAAATCGCAAGACGGGTGGTGAGCGGGGAACGAAATTCATCCACAGCTACCCTGAACACAGATTTTTTTCAAAAGGTCTCAGGACTCTGTTATGCTTCTTTTATTGTCCATGCAGGACATAGTGGCAGTATATGAAACATTGTGATGAACATTATTCGACAATCTTTTCACCATTTCGGTACCTTTCACTGTCATTAATATTCATACGAATGGTAATATATCCACTGCAACGTCCTTCTGAGTCCAAATGTACCTCCTGGTTTCTTATTCTTAAATAATAATAATAATATATATATTTTTTTAAAACCCATAAATTTCGTGCCACATAGTACACTTGATTAACCGTACTTGACAGATTAGCTCCACTGTCTGCCGCCCACACTCCAGAAAACAGCCGCGTGTCTCCTCGCCGTCCTGACATCGCTAAGTTGTCGGCGGCTGATTGATTTGGTCTGGGAAGACAAATGGGGCCGTGTAGTCAAGTAAGGTTTCATCGCAGAGGGTTTATTACATTCGCCAGCCAAACTTGCCCCGGGTCTAGGTGCTGTTGGCTGGCGTCATTTACAAACGGCCCATCGCCATGCTGCCGTTCCGGGTTGCCAACGGTTCGCGAAACTGAACCTGCAATCTGGAGGTCGCCGGTTCGAATCGATCTCCCGCTACGGCATTTGAAACGATGGCGCAGGTTTCTTTAAGAATAAATAAGTATAACCAGTAAAAACAACGTTTTTCACTATAAATCCTTTATATGCGTGGCGGCTAGAGTCCTCTCGTCCTCTGGCTTGAGATGGCTGCCACCTATGGGTCAGATGATTGTATTGCACCATTAAGCAATTGGTAATTAAATATAATATTTTTGTCCTAAATAGTGTAAAATTTTGGAGAAAAAAAAATCACGAACATTAATTGTCACGCACAACGAGTCTGTGTGGAAAATGTCAGCTCGATTGGATCACGGGAAGTGGGTTAAAAAAACGACCGAAAGATTTGCACGGTCCTAAGCAAGCAAGCGAACTTAATATAAAGGATTTAAAAAAATCCGCAAACCGGCAGCCTCTGTCCGCCCGGCAGTATAAATGATCAAAAACTACAAGGTGTTAGTCCTAGATTTGAAACTTTCGTGACTGCAAGGATTCATATTCTTAGGTTTTTTCGGTAAAGTCACGTAGGTAAAACATAAAAAAAGTAAAATAAAATAAAAATCACGACGTTTCGGAGGCAACACAAGCTTCCGTCTTCAGGTGGTACCGTCACAGCCACGACAGCTGTATCAAGTAAATGAGAGAAACGGAGTGGTAGCTCCTGCAATCTCTCATTTACTTGATACAGCTGTCGTGGCTGTGACGGTACCACCTGAAGACGGAAGCTTGTGTTGCCTCCGAAACGTCGTGATTTTTATTTTATTATACTTTTTTAATGTTTTACCTCCGTGACTTTACCGAAAAAACCTAAGAATATGAGGTGTTAGTCATTCGGCAGGTGGCGTGTGGTGGGCTAATTTTAGGGTAACTATCCACCTCGTCCAAGATGTGTGGCCAGCGTGGAATAGAAGGCTGAAATACCCCCCAAGAGGGCTTCCCCTAGTTGAGGCGATATCGCCAGCGGTGGCATGAGTGGAGCAAAGCAGGGCTGGCACCCTCTACCTCTGACATTGCATAAACGGCTCGCGTTCTGGCATTCTGGAGCGGATCGAGAGACGTTTTATCAGCCAGGTTGGGCAGCACGGCGAAAGCCCATGACTGCTCGTCGTAGAGGTCAAAGTGACTCTCGCCACCCATTGTATACATTTAATTTGAATTACGCTGGGCGTGTGACTTGCGTCAGTTCCACACACCCCTGAAATATGACCTACATCACCTAAGAGGTCGTCCACTCGGAGTGTTCGAGGACAGGGTTTTCTGACATCATTAAATATTTCAATGATAATAATCAACATGGAGACTGGACAGGGAAGCGATGGTTTCCTAAATGGCTCTTGGTGCAGGTCAAATGAAACAGCAAATTAGCCAAATTTAAAACTGTATGCGTCCAAGGTTAAATCAATTGCGCACCACGTATTCTCCCACTTTAGCATAGTAATATATGCGAATACCCCCACATTGCTGTTTCTATCGCTGTATCAAAGCCTGTCACTCACTGTTCCTCATTCACTCTCCAATCTCACAATCAGACAAACAGTAGCACCATGGTTCATTGGCCCTTTGGGATTATCCAAGGAGAACTGGGGGGGGGGGGGGGGGGGGATTTAATTATATTATTACTTTTCTTCTCGTATAAAAATGTTAAGGACTTTTTTTTTTATTGAGACACGTGGTTACCTTGGAGCGCAATGATCTTCGGCAGTGTGGACCCGGTGAATAAATTGAAGGAGAATTTCTAGCTTCCAAGGTCACACCAAGTTACCTGGCAAATCGACTACACACACACACAGCACGTAATCCACAACGCACTTGACAGAGTCGTCATCATCGTCAGTGATTGTCTATCCGCTGCTTGATGAAGACCCTCCCCACGACGCTGCCGTTTTTCGCGACTCTGCGGTGTCACATTCGCGCCTGCCGATTTCATCGCTCCATCTCCGTCTCAGTCGTTACCCTCTTGGACGTGTTCTCTCCTGTGGCTGCCCATGTGTTCTGGCCATAATCATCGAGTTGTTTCTATATACACGTACATGTATAAGACAAAGATCGCCCTATAGCCTCAACAGACTGTTGGGGCAAGTGCTGTTAGTGGGTAACCACTATGAAGGCCGGCACGGTAGAATGTTAGTGGGTGGCCAGCATCACGCCTGACCGCCATTGTCTCTCTAGTGGTAATGTTTACACACCTCCCCAGGTACTAATTTGAGACTGAGTCGACCGAGGGGGGGGGGGGGCCCAGGACTAGTCCAGATAATTATCACCGATGTTGGCCGTGAGCGGGAATCGAACTCGAATCTCAGGGTTCTGAGGGCAGCGCAATAACCGCTGCACTACCACTCCTCACTAAATATGCATATACAATCTTAACTTTGGAGCTTTCGTGACTGCAGGAATTATTCTTTGATTCTTTCGGTAAAGTTATGCATAAACACTCACTCAGATATGTATATACTGGAAATAAGCTAATTCAGTATTCATGAAGTATCTACGTAAATAGTATTATACACATTGCATTTTACTATGTTATGCCAGTGCAATTACGAAACGTGAAAACATAACCACGCTTGCAAGGGGACAGCACTCAAAGCTCTGAACGGTTGGATTCCATCGAAATGCTATATTTCCATCAACTGACCACTTGACAGTCGCGTGGTATTTTGGAACTATCACACACGTGCGTGATCCACCATCCCCCGCCTTCAAAGTGCCCGACCACAGGGACGCAACCACCACGCCTGGCTCGAGAATAAAGACGTAAATAAATAAACAAACAACAATGGCTTTTTTCCCTCCTATTTGAATTGTAAATACCAGTGGCTTTCTTGCCACTGATCCCAAATACCTGTAGGGATCAAAGCGAAGCCACGTGGCTTTGTTCGTAACCAACAAAACTCCCTTGAATCTTAAAGCTTCTCGGTCTGGTAACCTCTAACCGAGCTGGGCATGCTGCAACTTAACCTTGGAAATAAAAATGTGTTTAAAAAAAAAAATCCACACAAAGTCCTAGCAGCCTCACCCCCCGGGGAGTTTCGTACTGACTGAACGCTATCTTTCACGGAATCATACTCCCCCCCCCCCCCCCCATTGCGTGGGAGGTCCTTGAATTCATTAGACGTAAACTCCTCCGCGGCGCCATGCAGGCGCCGTCTTCACATCGGCCCCTCCAGTGCCCCTTCGTCCGGGGCCGTCCACGCTTGCGGTGATTCCTCACGCAGCGGCCGTGAAACGAGGTCTCAGCCGGCGGCAGCGGCGGCGGCATCCACAAGATACAAAGCCCTTGCGGTTGCCTTCCTGGCCCCGTTTCCGCCTCCCCCCACGCCGCTGCCTCCCTTGCACCGCTTTGCGCAGAGCGCCCCCGGAGTGCTCTGACTTGAGTGGCACTCCACAAAACCCCCGGCGCCTGTCTTTACGAAGCAAGCTCGCCGCCGCTGTCGTTGCGAGGAACCCTGCAGCAACATAAACCGTGCAGTCGTGAAGTGCGATGCAGAGCTAAATCCCAAGCGTGGCATTTGTTTGTCAGTAAAAGCGTTGTGCATTTATATATATATATAAAGATTGCTAAGGTTACAAATAAAATGTGCAGCCCTGCAATTTCTCGTTCATGTAAAACTTCTGGCGGAGCAGCCTTTACTAGAGGAAGCTCAAGTGAGCCCATGCAGACACTGAGATGGTATTTGGCCTACTCATCTACACTAGGAAGACGTCTTGAAAGAGGTGAGATTAACCCACACTTTACCCGACCATACACGATCTTGCTGATCGACTAGCCGCTGGGTCAACAGAGGTGATGGGGGTGGTGGGGGTGGTGGGGTGGTGGGGGTGGTGGGGGTGGTGGTGGTGGGGATATAAGAAACCTGCACCATTGTTTCACCCTTCGTGCTGGGAGATCGAATCCAACTGGTGACCCCTGAATCACGAGTTCAGAGTGCTTACCATTACAACGCCATGGCGGGCCAATGTTGTCGTCCAAGCAAAATAAATATCCAGGGCAGAAGGAAAATGTTCCACAAACTTCAGTTGCCTCAGTAGCAAGCGCACGGACTGGACTGCATGATTGTAAATATGATCTCCCAGGCGAGCAACTGTGGCCACAACGCGAAATGATCTGTCTGCTTCTTCAGGCAAAAGGAGCTATAACTACCGAGTCGCACTAAGCTCCGTAAATGTTGAAAGCACTGAGTAAGTCTGCATCAATGAATGGACGCAATGTTTTCTCACAGTACTGTTTTCATATTTTCACGTATGTGTGTTTCAGTTATGGTGACTTTCTCAAATGTATTTGGTTGGTGATTGTCAAGAAGTAAAGCCTAAACAAATATTTTACATAGGCAGATGTTTAATGTTCCTGTAAAGTTTATGGTGGCTCAGCAGTAGAGCTCGCCTTGCCATCGGAAGGTTAAGAGTTCAAATTCTGGTTGGTAGTTGACTCCGTCCATAATTCCCATGAGGTCGATGAAATATGTACCACTTTGTGAGGATGTCAACAGTGGATGCCCTAGGGATAAACCCGCCCCTGCCATAAGACTGTGGAATTTACACGAATGCATCAACCCTGACGCCTGCTATATATTTGGAGATTGCATGTCTCTCTCCTCCAGTTTTCCCTCCACATTTATAAACATGCGTTTATACTATTTGGGCTACTATAAATGTCCACGTGATCAGCCACTTCGTTGAGCTATCATTTGTGATTGCCAAGTCGCTTCTCAAAAAGAGCTATATGGATTAATGGGCCTTACCTACTAAAATTAAAAACAAAGTTTAGTTCTATATATCTCTGCTCCATTTCCTCGATCTATTTGTTGGCTGACACTGCATCATTATTCTTGATCATCTTCAATAATCCTTCATGATAATGTGTCCTGTCAATGCCCACTCTCCATTCTTGGAAATTTGAATTAACATGTATAAAAGTAGGTGCTCATAAATATAGAACATTATACACTTGAAATATTAAGCATTACATTTTTACTTGCCATGCACAATATTCTTTTTTACCTAAATATGAACAAAATACATTTGAACGATGATGATTAATATCATGTTTACATGAGTAGAAAATTACAAGTAACGAAGGTAGAAACACGTTCTAGATTTGAAGCTTTCGTGACTGCAATGATTCATATTCTTAGTTTTTTTCGGTAAATTCACGTAGGTAAAACATTAAAATTAATAAAAGTAACGACGTTTCGGAAGCAACACAAGCTTCTGTCTTCAGGAGGAACCGTCACAGCCCGACAGCTGTATCAAGTAAATGAGAGATTACAGGAGATACCACTCCGTATATATAAGAGTGGGCCATCCCTGCCCCCCCCCCTCAACCATTATATGTATTACCTTATTTAGATATATAACAAATACAATATTGTATCGTATTGTGCAGATAACTGCACATGAGGCTCACTTATAAGACAGAGCTTCACAGTTTGAGTTATTCAGTCAAGACTATGCCTTGGAAAGCGCATGGTATGTCTTGAACAATTAATATGGAAATATTTTAAACTGGCCCAAGGCAATAAGGAATTCAATGCTATCCAATCATTAGTTCCTCACAGGACTGAATTTTAATGCTCATTTTAGGACAGAACATGTGTAATTTTCGAATTTATATATCCATGGCTTTACAAACCCCCATGGTGCAGTTAAACGAATGTGTTACGGTTCTTCTTTACAATTGCAATTGAGAATTTGTGCACAGTTGATGCTCACTTATGACAGTTGGTATGCAGACATTATATTTACTACATGGGGAAAATGATTAAAATAGTGCTTTGCAATTCCCGTTTAATTTCTTCACAATGAGACAACGTGATTGCTATTATAATAAAACAATCAATTGGAAGCCATTAAATAATTTCTAAAAATGTGCTCATCTCTCATTCAGCTCGTGTGACTAAAAATTTAAATAAAAAAAGGTCGTGACAAAATGATCCGCTTTTCGACTGAGAATTTGGAAATTTAAAGAAGCGTGTGCGTTTATCCATCGTCTTTGAAAGCTGTGACCTGTAAAAAAAATGTCATTACAGTGCCTTCAATGGGCTAAATTGTGTTGAGCACAGGGTTCTGGTTATACCAAGCAATGCGCCGCTTTTATTCAACGTATTGACAAAAGGATTTGTTGACAGCCCAGACGTAAACTAAACCTTCCATTGAACCGCAACGAACATTAGTAGCGTGGCAACAGCTCACCTAGGAAATAAATGCATCGCTTATTGTCCAAAGCCACATTTCTCAAATCCTAGTCTTTCAATCCACACCAAGGTCCCATTCTTGAATGTGTTGTCTTATTACCTATTCAAATGTAAATTAGCAACACATGTATTGATTGGTAAGTGCAATGGTGTGACCTATGATAGGGTTATTAGAATACTGTTTAAGTACCAATGGTCTGTAATTATGAAAACGTTTGTAGTGACGATTATTGAGTTACTCCGGCGTTTAGCGCCAACTACTCATACAAGAGTAGAACTGTGAGTGTTAGAGCCTCTCTCTGACACCAGAGTATGTATGGCATGGAAGGGGGCCCTAGGAGGCCTGGTTCTGGGGACTGTCAGAGAGGGGGCAGTTAAGGACGTGACAGTCTGGGTGAACCCGAGAGGTCACGTGACCAAGACAATATAGCGAGGGGGGGGGGGCAAAAGGTGGCAAGAGGGACACGTGATGTATGGCCCAGAACCTTCTAGTAGGATCCAGAAGGGGGCGTGGCCGAGGGCGGAGCCAGACCACGCTCGAGGGTATAAAAGGGAGGTCCCGAGAGCCGATCAGGGCTGTCTTCTAGAATCAGCCCACCGTGCTACGTCTCTTCGGTCGTCACGTTCGGCATTGTGGGTCAGGCAGTATGTTAATGACCTGACCTGGTTGTGTAGGTACCCCATTGTGGTCTAGTTATCGTGGTAGTTACCACCAATGTCATTTTCCCGTACGTTTATGTAGTTACCCCGTTGGGGTGTTAGAATAAACGTGTTGCCTCCAAAGTCAAGTGTGTCTCCGTGGAACCCACTACACATTTATAATAGTGCCTTTTTGAATGTAAAAATGTTGAGCGATACCGTAATATCCTTGCACTTTATAAATATTGCTCGCTTGCTTCATCATAAATATACACACGTAAATAACACAAACTGAACACATTTGTCAATAGCATTGCTTTGAAAAGAGGAAAAATACAAACTGAATATATATCGATTTCAAGCTTTCGTGACTGCAGGGATTCATCTTCTTGGTTCTTTCGGTAAAGTCACGTAGAAGGGAAATAATAAAATAATAAAAATTTAACATAATAAAATATTATTTAACTTATTTTATTATGTTTTATTTTTATTATTTCATGTATTCCCTTCTACGTGACTTCACCGAAAGAACCAAGAAGATGAATATATATTATTGTAAACGTTTGGGCAATGGAACTTTTGGCTATGTGGTAAGGGGCCTTTGTCTGAAACATTGCCTATTAGAAGGGCCATTGGCCACAATGTTGCCTATTGTATTATTTTCCTGTTCGGGACGTGGTTTTGATGGATGTGTGGAGTTTTCACTATTTTTAGCTTGTGCACCGCTCCCAACGCGGTATCACAACAAACGCTTTGTTATATATACAAATAGGTTAGAGCCCACTTAATCATTGTCCGTTTATGATCTCAAAATAATTATTTATACTGAAAGTTCCCCACTAGATTTGATCAAAATGAATTTCGCCGAGTTGTGGTCGCGTGCACTCGTGATCATTCCAGAAGCACATTTTTTATATGTAAAAAAACAGGTCAGGCCTACGATTCCACATTCAATTCGCAATTACTAGATTAATATCATTTATTGCAAAGCGTATTTGTTCGTTGGAATTCGTGTGGAAATTAAACTCGAGAAAATCCAATTACCCCTAGTGTCTGAATTTTGTGGATCGGCATTTGTGTCCACACTTAGGACGCGTCTTCTGGGGGGGGCAACGATGAGTAGCACATAGGTGACCCCATCGTGGTAAATGGTTTGCTTTAGCAGCTCTCCTCTCCTTGCGGAATGTTTGCCGAAGAGAGGCGCGCAGCTAATCCGTCGTCAGTGGCTGTTGCCTGCGTGGATAAGAGCTGTCACGTTGCTCCTACTTGGCACCCATTGCTGTTAGCGCTGTGCAAACACGTCGAATGTCAGGGGCACTTTTTTTGTTGCGGATTTTTTTTTGTTCTTTGTGTGAGCGCCGATGTGTGTGTGTGTGTACGTGTGCATGTGTGCCTCTGTGCGCCTTCGTAGACCTGTACATGCCTGCGTGTGTCTGTGTGTGTTGAGCTTATGGTAGTGTAGTTGCTAGCACACTGCGCTACGAACCCAGCGACCCAACTTCGATTTATGCTCACAATCAACACACATGATGAACATCTGAATCGGTCCTGGGCCTCCCGTAGGTCGTCTCAGCGTCAAATCAGTGCCTAGTGCAATGTGTAAATATCATGACTAAGAGATGATGCTGGCCACCCACCCCCTCGTGTTCCGAGCCCTCCTTCATAGGTATCCGCTAACATCACATGCCCCAAAAGTATGTTAATGCGAGACGGCTGTTCGTTGCCTTGTGCCTACGTACGCCTGTGTGCGCCTGTGTGGCCGGGCGCTCGGCAAGACACGCGGGCCCAGTTGCTGACAGTGTTATGAAAAGCAGCGGGAAAGGCAGCCTGTGTGATATTTTAAAACGAAGTGATTAACTGCCATGGGATAAACTTGTCCTATCA